CATCAGACATAAAGTCGACGAGACTCGTAAACTGGTCTAAGCGCAGTCGGTTATACCGTGTTGGCCGATGATCGCGTGGAAGGGAGCGGGGGATAGAGGATCGAGTTAATAACTTCTTAATGCTACTTGAGATACGGGCTGCAGACGCGCGGATTTACGAGGCTGCACTTATTATATGATCGCGCGGCGCCGAGATAGGACTTGCCGTCAAGCGCGCGCGACTGCCGAGCGATATGCGCGCGCTGCTCCTCTGTAATGCGCTTTTTAATTGGTAAGTTTCACGCCTCGCGACGATATCCCGATATCGGCCCTGGCTGGCAAGTAGATTGCGCGTGGCTGCGAGATTTCGGCGAACGCTCGAGGGAATTCGACGTTCGCTTCGTCCTTGACAATAAATAAGCCAGTTTTCACGTACATGCGATTTTCGCGCCCCTCCTCCTCCCACTTAAGGAAAAAAAAATACACGGCTGCATTTCCATTTTGGCTCGTAGCGCGCCATCGCCGATAAAATGTGCGCATCAAGCGGAGCAATGTCGCGGGCGTCGCGCAGCAGGCGAACGCGCGACGAGATAGTCGGTGATATATTTCGGCGCAGTAGCAAGCGACATATAAAAAGCCTCGGCGCGCATATGAAACGCGCAAAGAGGATCAGAGGGTGGCGATGGCGGTCGTCGTCGATGCGGCGAGCGCCGCGACAATAATTCCGAGATAGCGCGGGGCGAAGACGCGCGCTTCTCTCTGCGTATTGGCCGCGCGCGTTCTCGTTTACGAGGCGCAACGGTAAATCCACGCGCGGCGCGCGGACAAAGGCGATACGTCTGGGCGGGACGGAAGCCCGAGCGCGAAGCCAAGATGTTTTCCAGCAGGACGCGGTGATTAACGTTGATGAAACTGCGCGATGGACGGCGGTGCGCAGCCGAGCTCCCACTGTCCACCGATGATTTGTCGTTACCGCTGTCGCCGTTACGCCGAGGATGAACGGCTTTTACTTTTAGCGAGCGTCCGTCGCGCTTTCGGCAAGTAATTATTACGCGCGGCGCCTATTCCCGAAATATCGGGAACGCGAGGGGGAAGGAAATGATGTTATAATGGAAATAATAATAATAATGCGACGGGGGGAGAAATCCTTTTGCAACTGTATACCGAACCGTGTATGTTTAATTCTCGCTGCACTTGCCAATTAGCTCGTAACCTGATGAGAGAGGTCGAAGAGAAACAAAAAGCCGGCTGGCATGAATGCAAACAGCGCTATGCAACGGAACGAAAAAATGAAGTGAAAATTACCCATGGAGAATCGCGCGTTACAGGCCGCATACAAGAGAAGCTCATTAATGCCACTACCGAACGTTAGACAGCCTTTTCACTTGCATAAGCTCTTTTCTCTCTCCCTTCCTCTCTCTCTCTCTCTCTCTCTCTCTCTCTCTCTCTCTCACTCTCTCTCTCTGTGTCGACGAACGAACGAATGCGGAAAAAAAGAGAAGAGACCTTTTCACGCATACATGAATTTCGATGTACAATCGTCGGCGATTGCATCGCGAGAAGCTTTCGAATATATACATAACCGCAAAAAGAAAAACTTTACGTCCATGTATCAAATATTTCCGGGTTATGCGGTTGTAAATCACGACGGTGAGACGTTTTTCCAAACACCTAGATTTGTTTCCGAGAAATCCGTCGAGTCAGTCAAAGGTGAAAGTTCGTTATCGAAGCACTTAGAACTAATTAGCCTACGCGCGCCTAATTGAAAGTACTGAGAAATAATAAATATTTTACGCACTTATATACACGCGGAGAGGGACCAAGTTGTTGAAATGTTGCCGTAGTTGCACCTGGAATTGAATCACACAAGTCCCACTAGGAAGTTGAGAGAGCTGAAAATTAATACTAATTACCGAGGGCTGAGCGCCAGTTTCTCTACGGAGCTGCAAGCCTCATTTCAATGACCTATAAAATTAGCAAAGATTTCAAAGCTTCGTTGGATTTTGGTTTAACTACAACCATAGTGTTTTCACGAACTTCCCGTTTCGAGATTAATTATACGCGCGTTTATTCATTCGTTTATACACTGATGATTTTCATAGCCACGCTTACAGTTCATTTGTTATATAAAATTCAAGCAAACTATCGCATTTCCTAATCAGTGTAATTAATTTCTATAGATTATTCGAACAGACAGTATACAATATCGACTTTTCCTTTGGAAAGGACGAAAATAATCCCGGTGTCATTCAATATGAATCAATATTTAGGAATAAAGCAATTATTCATTGGATATTTAATTAATTTTATTCAATTATTGTGCGTTATAAAATACTTTACGAGCTACTTTAATTAATAAATGAGAAAAACTTGCTTGCAATTACAAAATTACAAACCGCACATCATATAAGCACATAGCCGAGCTATATTTTGCCTTAGAAAAAAAAATATTCAAAATAACTCGGCGATTCGTGTAAAATAGCGCACCGAAAAAGACGTCAAACAATTCAGCAAATAGCGCGTAATTGCACCTGAGGAAAAAAAAGAGGAAAAAAAAAAAAAAAAAGAACCCGAGGGGGGCTCCTAGTCTGGCAGACCAAGAAAAAAAGAAAGAAAAGGGAAAAGACGGTAGAGAAATGTACGCGACTCGGCTCGCGCGCGGACCCGCGCATTGATTTGCCGCGTGAAACTCGATAAGAACTTGCCTTGGTGAAAAGTGCCTCTCTCTCTCTCTCTCTCTCTCTCTCTCTCTCGACGGCTGCAAATCCAGCGAGAAGTTCTACCGGAAAGAGGAAGTTTGGCCAGTCAAAGCACGCGAGACTTTTGTTTCGTTTCGTCGTGGGTAAAGGAATGGGGAGGGGAACTTGTTGTCGACACCGTGTTGGTTTTTCTTTCCTCTCTCAAAGGATCTTTATTTTCTTTTAGGAGAATTCTTGGGAGGTTATCCACTTTACAGTATGCTTCTCTTCTCTCTCTCTCTCTCGCTTTTTTGTTGCGCATCTTATACTCCTAATGCGCCTCTTATCGCTTAATTCCGGCGCGACGCCGACGTCGTTTAACTATAGCAGGCAGACTTTTTCTCTTCTGTAATTGCATAGTCTTACATTCGTTACCGAATTTCGTTTTACCTCTTTTTTTTTAGTACATATACATGAGTTTAGAGGCGTTTAAATGTCTGCACTATAGTCGCTTGTGTTTACAGTAGATTTAACGTTATCCATTTATTTTTTAAACAAAAGCAAATGGCTGATGAGGTAACTTACAGATTATTTTATTCGACGTTATTTTCACTTTCATAGTTTGTTTTTACAATGAACGAAAAGAGAGTTAAAAACTACACTTGAGTAAAAGTTGTCTAAACTAAACTTTCAAAAGCAACAACAAATTCCTTTGTTATGAATATTATATTTCCTATTTCTCACAAAATGTTGGAGAAAAAAATAGCCATCATTTATTTCTTTAATTTATTCAATAATCTAATTAATAAACTTGCTTCGATATCTTCTTTTTTCATGCACGATCTAGTGTAGATTTTGAAACATATAAAAAACAACTAAACTACCGACTAAACTAACGTTTATTAAAAATTACAAACAAACGGAAACTTAAATAACTATTCTTTTCGAAGGACCTTACTATACTTCTTTATTTTATTTTTTATTTTGTATTTTGTGCCAGGTTTGTATGTAAACAATTTATATATCCCTTAACCTAAATAATAGTGATCTTTCATGTCACTTGATACATAATTTGTACTGTAATTACACTAGAGAATTGCTGTAATAAAATGTGCTATAGTTGCATCAAAATTTACTACAAAACATAGTAATCGTAGGATATACTCGAGTCATTATAAAATTTATCAAACTTTTATTAATTTCCACCATGGAGAAAACAATTTTTATATAACGATATTGAAATATTCATTATAAAATACATAAAATATTATGTTATACAATAATTATTGCAATAATGTATGTAAGAAGAGATGTTAAAATATCTAGTACAAATTATTATTTTTACAATAACAACAAAAATTACTGTAGTCGGTTTAAAGCTCTATTTCTAATTTGATAATCTGCAAGTATCACGCACAGATGGCAGTTCGGTTCTCGTAAGTGGCAGAATAAATATTTAATAAGATATAAAAAAATATCAGTCAGGATTATGCACGTAAAAATGCGTACGGTTTAGAGGTGTAATGGGTCAACTTGCGAACTAATAAAATAATATACGTGCATATAAATTATAACGATAATGTGTCGACGAACTGGACAGGCCCTAGTCCGAAGAATTTCAAATTTTACGTGATCTTCGAAAACAATTCGAATCAATATAACATTTTAATTTAATAATGAAAATTGCTATGAAAAATTTACCAAGCTAATGTCCTGTTATGATAATGGGTTCTAATAAATTTACTATTTTGAATAGTACTTATTCCTACAATCAAAATATATTCCACGTTTACTATGTTTTGTAACAATTTTATAATGTCAATTGTCTCAGTATACCATTACTTCAGATGGGTCATGTGCGCTTGTACGAAATGGATATTATACACTAAAGTATTTCAGAAACTATGCATTATTGTCAAAGTCTAAACAATTTCGTAGCACGAATAACAATATATAACAAATTTTAATTTGTTCCTTGATTACACGATCGAACGAAACTTAGTCGAACGATTAACGAACATGAACTAGCTTTTATGAACAAAGTTTTCCTTAAAACGAAGAAGCACTGCGATTGAGGGTTGAATCATCCAACTTGATTAATGAATAGACAAAGAAGCGGTCGGCAATTATAAGCCAGTGGACAGACGATTGGCTAAAAACGACGGAAGAGCGCAAAGAAATGATTGCAACGAAGTAAGGCGGCAACGATTTTAGTCATGAAATCCGAACAACTACAACTGTCAAATCGGTAATGCCCGTGAAAGTAAATAGACGCGACAAGCTGAGCCGAGAGTCGCGCTAGCGCAAGACTATGACCTCGCTCATGAAGAATCGCAGCGTAGATCACGCGGAGGATTTCTCGGGCGCGGGTTTCCTGGGCTCCATGGTGGCCAGCTCGTCCCGCAAAGTCTTTGGTATCTCCAGCAGCTGCGCGTGTTCATCGTAGCGCAGTCGACGCTTGATCGCTCGCAGGGCCAGCTCGCGAAGCGAGTACATGGGCAGACTGATGTAGACGACGGTGCGCTCGATTCTCCTGGCCGGCAGGTCCTGCTGGCGCAGACCGCGGTAACGCTCGAACCACGCTTCCGGGAAATACACGGGCTGGCCGTTGCCCAGCAGCCTGCGCACACAAACGAATCGCGAATTACGCAAATCTCTCGTCCGTGCTCTCATCGGCGGACAGGCACGGCGCAATTATGACAACAATGATCGATTTCATACCTATCTTTGGTCTCTTCTTCCACGAAAATCCATGGGTGCGTCACGAAGGTATTGATGTCGATGTAATCCTGACAGCCGAGCACTTTGTATGCGACCTCTTTGCCCGCGTAGTCGATCCAATAGACGTTCACGTTGTAGCTGGTCATGTTGATGAATTTCACGAAGGAGCTTTGCCGATTGTGAATCGATCGCAGTTCTGGAAGTTGTTCGCGGTTTTCCTGCTGCTCTTCCTCCATTGCGACATGCGCTTTTTCGAACAAGTTTACTATCCGCTATCGCACTGCGAAACAATTTGGTTATACGCGATGCTGAGGTAGGAAGTCACGGCTGGACTAAAATCAAAAGAAAACAAACAAAACGATAGACTGGCTGGCAAATGCTGCAGCCGCCACTGAAGGCAGCTTGCTCATTTTTATGGGCGATTGATTTTCATTTCTTTTTCTTTTTTCGAGCAAAGCAGTTTCGTCAAGTGGATTACCCCGGGGGTATTCGCTTATTTATTTCTGGGGCAATGTCGACTTATTTCAATTAGTTTTGCAAGCACTGTTTCCAATAGCAAACAAAACCAAAAAAAACAGACATTATCTCTCTCAAGTTCAATCGCCTGTGGCATGAAATAACTTTCGATCGAGAAAAATCGCTGGGTAAGTTTCCGTGTCACTCGAAGAGAAAAAGAACGAAGAGATCGAAACAGAAAAACACGAAGAGATATTGTTTCTGACGGTAGGGTGTAGAAGGTACTTATAGGGAAGTATTTTCCTGTCTGCTCGGTATCCTAAGACGCAAGCAGGGAAAAAAAGTGGACAACGGCGTGTCGGTGTTCAAGTATCAGTTTTCGCAAAGTCGGCTGCTTCTCTCTCTCTCTCTCTCTCTCTCTAGACTGAAATTGGGTTCCGCCGAGCATGACCGGCAAATGGAAGTTGTCAAGATCCACGCGACTCGCTACTTTAGCAGTCCGAAAAACTTTCTCCCGATGTATGTTCGAAAAGCCTGTTACGTGTGTTTCGATCCGCTAGAGGCTAAACTTGTTTTTGTAGCTTACTCTCGTGGCGAAAGTATCGATGTGCGTTTGCGTAAGAACTTTGTTTTTCTACCGCCGTCCCGACGGATAGATTTTCTTTTCTCATTACGGCCCTCCTATTAAATCATAGCACCGCCGCATCGATACGCGCGCGCGCTTTTAGTGAATTTCGGACAAAAGGAACGCTGACACGCGCGTCCGAGAGAGCCGCCGGCGAAAAGAAGACGGAGATATAATTTCCGGGATGCGAGCGCGCGAGTAGCCGTGGCGCAACCTCGGCTAGAGTCCTCGTCGTCGCCGATCAATTATCAATAGTCTCTGGCCCGCCGCAACGGTTGCCTCTTACGTCGCGAGAAACGATTGTTGCCAAGCAGCGGCCACGACGTGACGGCGATGCCTATGACGCGACGCGATTGGATTAACGTACCTACTCGGCAAACGCAATGGCGCAACAATCACTCTCGAATTCAATTGAGCGAGGGGAAGAGAAAAAGAAAGCTTGATTGATAGCCCGACAGACGTAAAAAAGAAGAAGATTAATTCCGAGTAATTAGTCACGGAGAGAATCTTAATTTCGCTGGCTCGTACGCATTTGAAAGCCAATAAAGCGCAAAGGGGATTTAATTTCTCGAGTCAATAAGTAAGTACGATGGCACACTCAAAACTAAAAGTTTAGCTCACCTGCGTCGAGTACATCGATCGCCTCGTGGCATTGTACTCTCTCTCTCTCTCATTTACAAATCCAAGCGTTAATTCGATTTGCCGTGTCTCGAGAGGCCGTCGATAATTAACGGATAGCTCCGGATTAAATTGCATTGGCAGCACCAGCCGGTCACTGTAATTTGCCTCCGCTGTCTCTCTCTCAGAGGCTTACAGTAAGGAATGTACAACTGTGAAAAAGCTCCGATTGGCTGCAGGGACAGATGAAAGGGATGGACACGCAGACGAAAGGGCGAGAGAGAAATTTCGGGGCGTGGGTTAATCCCATACTCTCCGGCAGCGAATGCTCTCTTACGTTGAGGGGATGCGACGCTGTCCGACCCTCTAGTATTGCGTTAATAACTTTCTTAAGGGGAGGGGGTGGGGACAGACCTTACACGGATAAATTGCCCGATAATGCCTTTCAAAGCGAAACGGTGAGCTTACAGCGATAGTGCATTTGTCGCGTGTGTACGTTTCCGACGGGATTTACATTGTCATCCAGTTTCATTGCTTTCGTTCGTTTCATTCCTTTCTTCCGAATGTCAGCAGACATCCCCGAACGTCAGTGGACGATATTTCGCGCAATCAAGTAATTTACCGACTGCAGCTGTTCCCACTGAATCACTCTCCAAACGAGTAGCGGAGAGTTTTCCACCCTTGGCGATAATGCTCGAGATGTCGGCCAAAGCCGAGGAGCAAAGTTAGCAGCATTGGCCGAAAAACGCGCGAGACCGACATAATCGAACTTTAGCCGCGGACGTTTAGAAACTTTTCCACGGCCCCCTTCTTTCTGCTTTCTTCCGACCGCGCGCCCGCGCTCGCAGTAGACGCAAACACTTCGGGCTTTTTCGTAGCTCACAGCTCGCTTCTAATTGATTGCGCTTTGCGAGTTTCGCCGCGAACGATTCATTGCCCCGCGCGGGCTTCCTTTCTTGCGGGCAAAGGATTATCATTTTTTTTTTCCTACCGTCTTTCTGCCTGCGACGGCGATAGTACGAGAATTATTGAGGGAGAAAAATCAGGGTCGATTGTGCATTTCGTAACGGAGGGAGCGAAATTGAACGGTAATAAGAGAAGAGCGAAAGGGAATACTCAGCTTCCGCTCGAAACAATAGCTTCTTCAGAATTTTATGCGGAATATGAAAAGGGGGCTTCATTTTAACAGAAGAGTTTTCTGACTTCGTTAGAGTCGAAAAAAAAAATAATGAAGTTTTTTTTTTCTTTTTGTGTGAAACATCTCTGAGGATTTTCAAGTACACACGGACTCTAAAAGGTTGACACAAAAAGGGAATAGGACAAAAGCGGAAAAGGCAGTAAAGTAGCTATTATAAGTATTAAAGCGGAAGGAACAAAGGAAATAATAAAAAGTGTGGGCTAGGAGGAAATGCATTCAGGAAGGAGAAAGGGCGAGCGCAAAAAAAAGAAGATTAAAGCAAAGAGTGGGTGAAAAGCGAAAAATTTTTCCCGCGAACGTGCAGGAGAATCGTCGCCGTCGTCGTCGCCGTCGTCGTCGTCGGCTCGCAGAGAATAAAAAAAAAAAAAGATGACGAGGCGGAGGAGAGGAGAGGGCTAAAAGTCGGAATAAAAAGGTGGAGGCCGCGGAAGCAAGGGCATGGGAAACCACGTGACAAAGCGTAACGGCCGGCTTAAATCGGCCACCGTGACTCGGAAAAACAAAGCAAGTGTGCAGCGGAGAAAATGAGGAATTAAAAAACCCACGACGAGAAAAAGAGAAATGCGTTCTCTCCGCTTGGTACGGATAGTCTGAGAAAGGGGGAGGAAATTACCGGCTGTTATGACAGAGGGAGGGGGGGGTTAAGCGATTCGATTGATCGACGACGTGGTAACCAGAATAGAAACGAGTCGTGCATTCTCCTCGATCGACGGAGGGAGACGAGGAGGAAATACGTTACGACGAGGAAACAAAAAAAAAAAATGAAGCAGCAACAGCCCGTATATCCGACGAACGCGCAAGAGGGGGATAATCGTAATGCCTTTGGTACTATTTTATTTGCTCGCTCGCGACTGCGTGGGGAAAGTATACGACGATTGTTTGTTCAGCTGATTTTCCTTGTGCGACTGACGACGATTTGGGACTTTAAACGAAGTGTGCATCGAACGGGCGTTTGATCTTTAAGCCAGGTTCGACTGGTTGAATTATTCATCATTCTTTTAATAAAATAACCAAAACTGCAATGAAAAGCCCCGGTGATTATGTTGAATTGTTGCACGATCCGCGCAATCCACGAAAGTCAGCAACGGCACGGTTGTTTGAGAAAAATTTAGGAGCCACGCGTACATGAGAGGCAAGCGCCGCTATCGCCATTCATCATTGTATAATTGTGCTCGCGTGTTTAACAACGCTCAATAACGTAGGTACCATAGGCGGCCATAAGCGTGCAGCATATCAGTTTTTCAACGCGAATCTCCGTGGCGCCGAGATCTTTTACTCTTTCATTTAATTATTCACTTTGCAGCAACAGTGACGGGGTTAAAATTGCTTATTAATCGGCTCGACTTTTGTCCATGGCTATTTAATGGGAAATTCAACAAAAGAATTTCTCCGCACCCTTGTGAGCTGCGAGAGCTCTTGACGTAGATTCAATAAAACCCTGGCATTTGCGAAATGCAGCGATAGCAAACAAAACAAAAAGCAGTTCGCGTCGGGAGAGCGGAAAGATAAATTGAAAATAAATATGAAGCTCGAAAAAGAGTGGGAAAAGCGCGCGATACCCGTCAAGTGGCAGCAAGAGCGAGAGAAAAAAAAAATTGAATGTGCTCTCGCGTACGCGAGCGCGCGGCACTTTGCGGATGAGAGAAGATTAAACGGAATATAAATGGGAAGAAAGGGCCAGGCGCTCGCGGAATTACTTTACTCGCTCGCTCTCTCGCGGCGATCGCATTTCGCGAGGACGTCTTTTAATTGCGACATATACAGCGCGGCCGAGGCGTTAAAATTTTGCGCTGTAAAATGCTTTTTCATCAGTATGTAATTAGAGCTCGAAAAAGTGGACACCGAGTGGCTAATTCTACGTTTCACGAATGCATTACGAGGCGTTTCATCATTTATCTTTTGGCCGGAGCTTCGGAAAATGCAGATTTTAACCTTTCGATATTGAAAGCGCGAGGTGCGCATATGCTAAAGTGCGCTGCACGGCTTGGAAATGGATTTTTTTTTTTTTTTTTTTTTTTTCAACGGCAGCGACGGGAGACGGTCTGTCGAGGACAAAATAGCACGTGACCTTGGTATCCCGATGAAAATACTTGGCTCGCGAGGTTGCGTTTCATTAGAAAGGCAATCGTTGAACTCAATATTAATTGTCAAATAATCAGCTCTTATGCTTAGCGATTTGCATGTCGGCGCCGTAAGTAGGGCAACGTGTAATTGGGTCATTAATTGCAGCGCTGTCTGAAACATCGCAGCATGAAACATCGCAGCCCAGTATTTTCATCGACCAAGAAAAACAATGGTTCCTCGTAGCATCCAATTTGGTCTTAATTCGTCGACAAAGCAATATATTTCAAAGAGTAGCAGACGCACGGCCAACGAAAACTCACTTTTAATTGGAAACCCGAAGCAGTAAAAGACACATAGCTCTTAAGACAGAGTAATCGCGAAAGAGCAACGATGATGCATCGCTAAAGCAGCGAATGCCGTAATTACGGAACGAGAGACGGTGCGCCGTTGGCGACGCGCTCCTCGGAAGATGGAACAATCGTTTTCTTCGCGCAAAACAACAATACCCTCTCTCAAGCAGACACTATCAACAGTTTTCTTACTTTGCGTTGCCTTCAATTCGAGAAACAAACAAGCCCTAAACACGAGCAATGATAACTTTTAAACAATTCATTTCTCAAACCAATATGCCTCTTCGAATGGCGAAGCTTCTCTTTTTCTGTCGCAAAGCAAGCAGCATTTTTAATAAAAATAGAAATTTATTGTCTTCTTGCAAGAAAATCCAGTCTTGATTTGCGAGCACTTTCGCATTCTTCATTTTAGTAGTGCATGAATCTTGCATCTCGTTTTTATGTTTGCTTTGCACGGACCCTCGATGAACAATAAACAACCTTCGGAATTATCACTTTTGTCAAATATTCACTTTTCTTGTCCGCCGGCGGTTGCTTTAAAAAGGCAGCTCGCGAATGAGGAAATAGCACTAATTACGCGATTATTCAGCGTGGCTTGCTTAAATTTTTGCGCACGCGTTGAGGAGAGAAATTACGGGGTAATGTCCATTGAGGGCAGTTTATCTTGTGTCAAGAGTAGTCGGTATTCATTAGCGAAAGCTTGAATGATATTTTTTGCCTTTCCTACAGGTGCAGATGTTTTTGAGGTAATAAAATTACAATTTTCGAATGCTTACCACGTAAATATTGTGACTTCGTCGGAGATGTTCCGCAGTGAATAAGGTTTGCATTATAGCGCGCTAATTAACGTGAATCTCAACCGCGACGATGAAAGATAATCCAAATGGAAAATTGATATTTTTGCCTCGAAGTGCAATTACATTCAGCCAACAGATTATTTTGCGGTTTCCTCCTGATTGCACAGAATATCAATGGGATTGAGATAAGCGTTTCGATTTATCGTTGTACGCAGCGAAAATTGCACTTTATAAAATAACTGAGCCTTGCGAAAGTAATGTTAACGCATTTTATTGTATAGCTCGACCTTCATCGACTGAAAAATTTCACCGAGGAAAATTTCATCTCCCGACAATTTCCCCAGATAAATTGGATGTAAACGTTTTTTCGTATGCCAAGCGAAAGAGCTGCACAGCTCTCGTCCCTTCATAAATTTGCATGTTGGAAAAAGTGGCTCGCTGCCGTAGAGGGATGGGGCACAAGCATCAGCGACGGGTAGCTTTTAACAAGCGTATCGAGTCTCCGCGCGGTAGGAAGATCGTCTGTCTTGACTAGCTACGAGTCGCTCGAGGGCCCGTAACGCCGACTTCAAAGCGGCACGGTCGAGCTGACGATGATAATGCTGCGTCTCCTGGTCGCCGCCACCGGCGACTACTTCCTCGGGCGGCAGCGCGACACTAAGCTTCAAAGGATAAACAACGTTAACGCCTACCGCGTGTCGACTCGCGTCGGAGGTTTTGCTAATGTTAATTTGCTGATGGCGAGCGCGTGTGCCGCTCCTCTGGACGTTCAGCCGGCTCTTTTTACTTCGACTCACTTTCCGATCTCAGATTTTGCACGTATACTAAAGTATTTGCTTTCCCGCTGATATTCGCAGGTCGCGTTGTCTGCGCGTAGTTATACATTCTTGTTTGAAAAATTGAGTGTAACATCGGCATTGAATCAGATATTTTCCCTACGAGAGCGCTAAAATTTCGACGGCAAATATAGATAAGATTGTACTCGGAGTACGCGTAAACGTGGTTTTTCCGGTGCGATTTTGCCCAATGTGATAAAACGTTATCAAGATTTTGCAACCACGCGCGCAGATAGATAATAGTAAAGTTTGACACGATTACGTCACAGCCTCAAATAACAATACCTTTCTTTGGTTTTGATCATCAACGAAAACCCAGAATGCTTATCTGTTTGTTCGAAAGGTGTATCGCAATCCACCTGTGCGTGTCGTAATATTTACTTGTAGAAGTGAGTAGCTGAGTATTATATAGATGAAATATTCATTGCCAAACTAATTAACGTTGGATCGCGGTCGAGCGGGCAAGGAAAGCCTCGTGATTTATTCTCCGTAATAAAACCACAATTGAATTCAAAGGGCACTACAAGTACTGCAGGTAAGACAATGTGTTTCTCAGTGGCACCCCGTGCAGCTGGTGAATTTCGTTAACCAGTCAGGGGCAGGCAGAGAGAGAGAGGGAGAAAGAACGGTAGAGTCACATTATAGTCCCGCGCGCGTGCACATTAGTCTTTTTCACTTATTTATTTCGGCGGGAGGCGTAGACCATTAAGCGATGCATTCTCTTTGAGCATCACGCCGTCGCAACGGAAAGCGAGTTTGGACTTCTTTTCCGAACTTGACTCGGATTTTCTTCTTTTTACGTCTCTCTTATACCCGCGAAGCACTAAAGTACACGCGACTTGGACTTTGACTGCTCGAGGATGGAAGTCTCTCTCCTGCAGTGTGCGAGCCGATTTGGTCTGAAATGAGCTTTGCTCGGGAGCTTTGCCTTTTTCCGTTTTCTTCCCCCCTTTACTCGTGGTTTTTTTTCCTCTACTTCAGTCGCTCATCTTCCTCGAGAGCCACAGGTATTAAGGGGCAAAAAGAAAGTTTGAAAACACAAATTGAAAATAATTCGCTATTTTTTTACTAATCATTTGTCGCTAATGATTGTCGTCGTCGCAAAGAGCATTCGATTATTTTGAAATATTTATTCGAAGCTAAAATTCACGGAAACCTTTAATAATACAATCTTACTATTCTGTCGGTGCTCCTAGATACATCTGTTTAAATATAATTAAAGTTATTTGAAACATCGAAGTGTAAGCTGATTCCCGATATCCTCTTTACTATTTTCATATTTTCTTCATTAAAGAACTGTTATTTTATGAATTTTAACAAAATAAGTAACTTTGTTCGATTCTCGAAAGATCCTTCGTTACTCATCATCGGAGAACTTCCAATATTATCTAACCTACTTAACTCGGCGTTTAATTGAATATAGTACATCGGGTCACAGACTTTGAAATATAATTGTCACTTGTCTCTCCCGTTATCAGTACTTCGATAAAATTTTCTTTACGATATTTCAAATAGTGAAAATTTGATCAAGCAATCTGAAGGAGATCAACCCAACAAGATCGTCTCAACTGCGCACGTTAATTGATATAAGTTAAACCCGCGATCAAGCAACGCCAAGTCCGAAGTTATCTGGGTGCTCTCCATGGCTAACGAAACAAAAAGAAAAAAATACCAAACAGAAGTAGCCTCCAATTCTCCTTCTCTTCCTGCGGTCCTTTCTTTTGTGGTCTCATCCTTCTCGAAAAAGCTATCGACCGACCGAAATTGTGCTATTTTAACACGAGCGTGCACGCAAAACACGGGAAAACCGCAAAATTAATCCAACGCGTTTCTTTTCCTCCAAGCTCGTTTTCCACTTACAGAAACGATAATGCACCTACGTCAATGAGTTCTCCCATTTTCCGTCGTCGTTCGTTGCACCGCTCGACGAATATTCGCCGTCTCCCATCGTCGTTTGCTAATTTCATTGTCGTCGTGGTTTCTTGTTGCTCTTGAGATATGGAACGTAAGGTAGACTTAACCTCAGCCAGCTATATGTACAACGAGAAAGAAAAACACATCCACGTGTGAAAGTTTGACTGGCAAGGCGCGAGGATGCTTTCAGAGGTAATGACTTGGTTTTGTGCTGTGTGCCAAATGAACTGCAAGGCGCCAGTTAGTCTGCAGACGAGCCAGTTTGTCGACGCTTAGCGTTTCGAACTCTTGAGCCATCCGGAAATTTGTCATGTGTATAAAAACTCATTAATATTTTTTTTTTCTCATAGACATGTTATAATTGAACGACATGAATCTTATCATTTTCCTTATATATTGTCGACTCAAATCATGGAAGCAAACTGAATTTTTTTTTATTGGAACTTTTATCGATCAGTGAAATCCTATTTAACTGTTTTTTCTTAATCTTAATTTTTTTTCATTTACGACATATAGTTGCGGCAGATCGACTTCAGTCATCATAATGAAGCTTTCGTGTGTCTTACTTTTCATCGTCTGTGGAAATCAGTTATTGACCGGTAAGTCTAATGCTAAAATCTATATCGCGCAAGTGATACTTTACTTATAAAATGCTTTCTACTTATCGAAAATTTCAATCACCAATGTAATGTATTTGGCGTTACACAGATGCAATGCATGGAGGTGATATTGATTACATCGAGAAAGTGCCATATATGGTAAATTTTACACTCCCCAAAGGTTTACAACACGTTTCTAATGGTTAATTAAACGTAATATATATTTCAGGCTCAAGTATTTAGACTGTACAAGGGTGGATTAAAATCATTCTGCGGCGCTGCGATTCTTACCGGTCGTTGGCTAGTAACGGCAGCTCACTGCACAGCCCCGTGTGTAAGACATAACCATTAAATTAATAATCATTTCAAAGTAATATTACTTATTACAGCAAAGAAACTGTACTATCCACACAAGTGCGTGTTGGTACCAACTATACCTTGACAGGAGGTGAACTGTACAATATATCTAGAATAATCAACTATAAGCAGTATTATAATAGTGCAAATAGATGGAATGATGATATTAGTTTGATAAAGGTGAATTTAATATTTGATTAAATAAAGTCGTAGAATCGTATTACTAGAAATAAAATATTTCGGTTCTTTTCCACGTACAGTTGGAAGGATTAGTTAAATTTAACAATAATCGCCAACCGATATCCATATCGAGAGTACCACCGAAAGTTGGAGATGAAATTGTAATTGATGGATATGGGGATGATTATGACGTAAGCAAAATATTTTTCTTTCAATTTTACGTTATTTTTCGATTTTAACCTACATTCATAACGTAGGGTGTTTATGGAACATGCCTGAAAGTTGGTTATCAAAAGGTTATTAGTATAGATGAATGTCGGAAAGCGTTCAGCAGAACAGATAGGAAAAACATTGAAATAGACAACAGAGTTTTTTGCACGAATTCCACAACGTTGGACCTTTGCCCAGGTGACTCTGGCAGTCCAGGTGTAATAAACAACAAAGTAGTTGGGATTGCAGCTGACGGTTGCGAATCTCCTCTGCCTAATATTTACATCAATATAGCGTACTATTATAATTGGATTTACCAAACCATCGATTCAGGAAATATTATATTGCATTAATATTTGTATTTGTTTTTATCATTGTAATTACGTTGAGGCAAAAATAAAATTTTATAAAATTAATTTATAAAGCATCATAAGTAAAATTTTATTATGAGTTAAATTATACAGTGTCATGTTCTGAACCTTAGAGTCATAGTTTTATTTGATAATTTAGCATTTGTAGTTCTATCAAAATAATTGACTCGAATATAACTGAATCAAATTCGATTTCTTAAGTATTTAAACTTATAGAATATATTTTGTTCAATCGATTTGTGTAATTTAAAGATTAAATCTAGTCTTTATTTAATTTTTCTAATGTTTTAAAGTATTGTCCACTGTAGAGAACGTTATGACTCTAAGAGTTATAATGATTTACCATGTAAAGTTATGTTAATTAATATCTAACATAGCGATAAAAAAATATGCGTTAAGCGTTTATTTGACTTCAATAACACACGTAACAAATAAATATTTAATTTTGGTTTGTATTTTAGGACTACACTAAGCCATTCAATTAGAATACACTAGTACACATTCTCTCTGCATACGTGCTAGCACTCAAGAGAGAAACTTGACACAGTAAACTGACTGTAAACTTGAGTGATTAAATTCAAATTACAAGTGCAATAGTTCATAGATATAGATAAATAAGTACACGACCAACATGATCGACGTTCAAAAGCCTGAGCAAGCCTTTCCAGAAAAATAAACGAAAAAGAAACAACTTAGTAGAAATCAGCAAAAAACAAGAGAAATAGAAACAGCTTTATAGAAAAAAATTATTAAGAAAAGACAAACGAGTATTCGGGATTATTTGTCCGGTACATCAAATGCACCAGTTGAAACAGAAACCTCATTCATAGTATTAGATGAAAATACAAATAACGGAAACATCTCTAACGAAAACTCATCAAAACCAGTAAAAATAAGACAACGCAAATACCGTCGCCCATCTTCATAACTGGTGTAATAAATATGTCCTTTAAAAGAATAACTTGATAAAGTTATCAAAAATAATTGTACTATCAAAATCCTCTATAATGATGAAGTTAAAATACTAACAGAAAATTAAGAACTATTCGTTCCAATCGTAAAAGCATTAGAAAATATAAATACGTTATTCCATATTTTTCCAAGTAAAAAAATAAACTATATGAAGCTGTCTTAAAGAGCACGTGCCCATTAGTCAATACAAATGAAATACAAACAGAAATAGAATCACTCGATCATAATGCCATTAGAATAACGAACGTCAAACACAGAATAACAAAATAACTCCTCTCGCTATTTTTCATCCAATTAAAAACAAAAGAATATAATAAAGAAATCTTTGAAATCACATAACTACAAAATCAAATCAGTAGAATTTGAACCACCGCGTAAAAAGAGATATTTCTCAATTCACTCACTGCTAGGATAAGAACTAACATCGTATGATCACAGAAAAAACATCTGAAAGATGTTACATGAATACTATGAAATTATTCAATATAAAAATAAATAATGAGAAATGTTTTTAAATGATATTTTGCATATTACATCATTCTATTCGAATTAATTTCGCACATATCACTGTGTGATAAGATATTCAGCTAGTTATTCTTTATTCATAACGGAGCTTTAATTTTATTTCGTCCCGCGTTATTTTCTGTTTGGATAACCAATTTATCACGTACCAGACTTTCCTAAATCTTACGAAAGATTGATTGCATTGTGCGTGGTATTCAACATCCACGCCATATTGAAATATTTCATCAAACCCTCATTCGCGATAACAATCGAGTAATAAACTATTCACACAACCTACACCAAATCCACATTCCACACTCCTATTACACATAAAACAGAGTCATCACCTCGAGAGAAGCATCGTCGCACTTGCACCTCTCCAGAACGACCTTTCTCTCACTCTCGCTGAGAGGTCACACGGCGAGAACAATAAGACCACATTTGTAACTCACTCTCGTGCACAACGCGTCACTGACATCGAGACGACCTCCGTTCGCTCGGTCCCAACGCTCCCTCATGCCAGCTACGTCACGCCTACGTGAGAACAATTCGCGCGCGACTATGCCAGCCAGGAGACTCGCTGACGGCGAGGTCGTGCTGCTGGACAACAATTGTTCCTCGCTTCGACTCAAGTTCACGCTCCATTCAGTGGATTGCAATAATTTTTTCAATGCGGTTTCGCGTTTCTACACTCGATAATTTATTGCAAGAGTTATTGATTACATTATTTGGTCATCGTTTGTTTTAATCAGTACCTTGATGCTCGTTTTCAAATCGGCGACGGCTTGTTTCAGGTAGCAGCCGCAATTTTTTGAGCAAGGCCCGCGCGTATTTTTCACCGGGCAGTCATCTTTGCAACAACTTGTTTTCCGACAATCTATAAAACGTAAATTCGAGTCATGGAGACGAATAACCAACTAGAATTGTTAATGGCAAGATGCATCGAGTAAACTGAGGTGAGAAAGCGTGAAAACGCACACAGATCGTGAATACGTGAAACAGCAGAGCTATGATCACAAATGCAGCAGCTCGCGAGAGGCATTTCGCTAATGGTAATAAAAAGAAGCCGTAAAAAGTGCATCAATGAAGAAAAATGAAAAAAAGGAGAAAGGGAGCGTGCTACCTTGGGCTCGTCTCTCTCTCTCTCTCTCTCTCTCCCTCTCTCTCTCTCTCTCTCTCTTCCTCGCGCCTCTTTCCATCGTATTACCTCGCGATTTAAAAGTGTGCGAGCGCATTACTCGAACTCGCCATAAATTTGCGCCACTTTATAATCCCATTCCAACATGCGGCCTGTGCGTGCTAACCACCACGCGAGTGGAAAAACTATTCGCGGGTAGGGGGGGGGGGGGGGGCAAAAGGAAACAACATATTCGTGCAGCAAAAGCTAACTTCCTTTTATATCGTCAAGGCAATGAAATATCCAAGAACAAGGGAGAAGGAAAAAAGAGGCAAGTTTCTCTCTTGAAGCTAATCCGCCGAGACAAAGGCAGCCATGGTATACAGGAGAGATGCTCTCAAGCCGAGTCTCTTTCAGACGAGCAAACTGCCTAGTAGTATATACCGCACTATACTCCTCGGCGGCTGGTCATTTATGTGTACCTTCTTGTTCGCTTATTCCTCTGATCTCCGCTCTTCCTCTTTTCGCTTATACCCTAAGCGTAGTTCGTATTATTTTCGACTTTACATGAGCGGTTCCAGCCCTCTTTACCGCGACGATCCAACACTTATATATTCGCATTAAAAAATTGCTTTTCTGTGCGGTTAGTTACAGTGACTTCGTATTAATAAGCATCGTTGCTTGATTAATCGAAGAACCAATTTAATTTGTCAGCGTTCGCCGTGATGATTGGGCATTTTGAAAAACACTAAACCGAAACAATTTTTCATATTCATTCGTCAGCGTTAAATGTCAAGCAAGCTTAAAGAAAAAAAACAAAAAAGAAGAAAAAAAGTTCTTCAGCTCGAACAATTTTAAGCGAGCTTTTTCTCTCTGCACACCATGGATGGCAAGTCTTTCATTTGCACCAGTAGCAACCCTTCTCAATTTCAGTACGACACTCGAAAAACGAAAAAGTTCCCCTTTGGCGCGCATGAAACTCTTCATATAACTGCTGATGGAGCTAATCGCGCAATGTAATTGCTCGCAGTGAGGAGTAGACCTATTCTCGACAAGGAATCGTTAGACTCTCAAGCCCGTATTTTGGCGTCGTCGTGAACAATACCCTCGCTTGTTTCTTTCTTTTTCGGCTGTGTAGTGGCCGCGGGGGCGTGTAGTTTGATAATTCGCGATTCGTCAGCGTCAGAAGGTGAAAGTGCTTCATGAATGTGACATTTAAGCTCGTGGGATAGAGTATTGAAAAAGCGAGATTAAAATGCGTCGCTTGTTTTGGCTATCGTATATTATCAAGCGTGTCGCAGTGAGAAGACAGGCAAGTGCCTTGCGGCAACGAGAGAGCGGCTGCTCAACATCATCACAACGCCAACGGGTATAACCTCGGCAGGTATATATGCACTCGCATATGTATTGCAAGTTCTCCCACGTATCCGCTAATTTCACTATTCTGACATTGAATACGAACGTCTAATGAGCTCCAAAATTTCAGTTTCTCGGATCTACTTATGATTCTATTTTAATCGAGGCATGAAATAATTTATGAATTTAAATCAATTCGTCATTAAAAACTTTCTGAATATTTTATCAAAAACTAACAGAGCCAAAAAAGCTCCATAAAAAAAGTCAACTAATTTATGTTTCAAAGAGTTTATTTTTTTTATTAAACTTTCAAAATCAAAGGATGTAGAAAATACTCGTTAATGTTTCGAATATAGTACTTTGATTGATGTATATATTAATAGTAGCTTTTAAATAATATTAATAAACTAAATAAACATTTACTGAAAAATAAATAAGATAGTGAATTAAAATATTATAGCTATATTATAATGGAAATTTTATTCCCGAATTGTTTTGGTTACTTATTTTTCCAATGTTGATATACAATGGGAAATACCTTCTTCTTTCTAAAAAGTTATTGAAATATTACAGTATTAGTTATGGAAATTAAACTCAATTAATAACTAAAAATCAACGACCATGCTTATTACTTGAATTTAAGTAATATAATAAGAATTAACATCATAAAATGAGCAATATATGCTACAAAATAGTTGTATATATACTATTGGAACTTCCGCAGCTTATGTATCTCAATAATAGATTAAGTAATTCCTGACACCTATTTATGAATGAAATTTTTATGTACAACCGTGCTATCGAACTTTATATTTGTGTGTGTGCATGTGTTTGTATGTATTGCGTCTTACTCACAAAAATGGTAGAATTGTCAATAAAAAAAGGGGTTGCATCTTCTTATGATCGGAACTGTATGTAATAGTTCCTCATTTATACGGGTAGTGAAATAAAATTTATTTAATTGTGAAATATCAATTAGAACTTGAGATAAATTGCAAAATTTATTTTTGAAGGTGGATTTTGAAGGCGGATTTCAACCCCTCAAAGTATTTTTCTGCCGATAAAAGTGTTACTTATTTTGCTATGATCTACAACATATTAAAAGAATATTCAAATCGATGAGGTCGGGAGGGGGGAGGGGTCCGGCATGTCCTTGTCCGACTTGAAACTTTTTCAGAACATCCATCTTACATAAACAAAGAGCTGTTTTTTTAATTGTCTTGGAAATTGAGAAAAAATTTAAGCTCTACTCGTAGTTTTCATTTATTTTCTTAATTTCCAAGATAATTTTTAAAAAAATGACTCTTTACGGCTCTTTGTTTATGTACAATGGATGTTCTGAAAAAATTTCAAGTTAACGAATTAATTTTATCAAGAAAAAACCTGGAAAAACTTCTTTTGCTCAGTTGGTAATACCAACAGAGCGTTATAAGTAGAACTTTATGAAAATTAAAAAATAAAGCTCATTTTTATGGTGCGGTTATTATTTCGAAGTATTGGGCACTGGCAGCAGCTTATTGCGT